GCTGAGAAAGGGGAAGTGCAAGTTGCTGAGTGCCCGGATTTGGGTTTTATGAACGAATCCGGCTTCCCACTTCTGCTTTCCCCGGAGCCCGGACGTCCCGTCCCCCTGCCCCTGCGGCAGGCTGTGACTGCCCCCCACCCGACCGTGACCGCTGTCCCCCCGGCTGTGTCTGCTGCCCAACCCGCTGCGCCCAGGAAAACGAAACTCGGGAGGCGAAGGGAGTTTCCATGGGGGGACCGTTGACCACCCCCCCGCCGCCCTTCCGCCCCGTGCAATGGGGATGGAGTTGAGAAACCTTCCCTCCCTCCCCCGCCCTGGGGCTGGGGGGTCAGGACTGGCCCAGCAGCCAATGCAGATCGTGGCCCAGGTCTGGGGGGGGGCTCTGGGTCGCCCCACTGGTGCGAGAGCCTCCTCCTCTGCAGCCTGGAGTTGCCTAGCTCTGCTCCCCCAGGAATGGGGGTCAGGGGCCTGGGGGCGCCCCGCGGCTTGCAAGGGGGATCCGGACCCTTGCAGGCAGGGGAGGGGGCACCCCAGACTGGGCCCCGCCCCCACTAATGCCCCCGCTGTCTCCTCCAGGCCGTGCGCACCGACCAGGACCTCAGCACCGTCCCCCCCGAGGCCATGTACAACCAGAACCTCAACGTGCCACCCTTCCGTCACCTCATCCAGGGGCTGGCGCCCTTCGCCTCCTACCACGTCCGCGTGGCCTGTCGCAGCGCGGCCGGCGCCTCCCGCTGGACCCACTGGGTGCCCATGGAGACCCTGGAAGGGGGTGAGGGGTGTCAACAGGTCCAGGGGGCTGAGCGCAGAGGGGAGTGGGGGCTAGTAGTTAGGGCAGGGGGGGCTGGGTGCCAGGACTCCTGGGTTCTCGCCCCGGCTCTGGGAGGGGAGCAGGGTCTAGTGGTTAGAGCAGGAGACTGGGAGCCAGGACTCCTGGGTTCTCTCCCCAGCTCTGGGAGGGGAGCAGGGTCTAGTAGTTAGAGCAGGGGGGCTGGGTGCCAGGACTCCTGGGTTCTTGCCCCAGCTCTGGGAGGGGAGCAGGGTCTAGTAGTTAGAGTAGGGGGGGCTGGGTGCCAGGACTCCTGGGTTCTCTCCCCAGCTCTGGGAGGGGAGCAGGGTCTAGTAGTTAGAGTAGGGGGGGCTGGGTGCCAGGACTCCTGGGTTCTCTCCCCAGC